GAGAGAGAGCGACAGTATGTGTGAGAGAGAGAGGGAGAGAGAAAGAAACACGCTAATGCAAACAAACACACACAAACACTGAAACAAACACACAAACAAACACACAAACGAACACACAAAGGTGTCCTACCTGCTGAGCGGAAGGCGCTGTGTGTGAATCCCGTCCTTGCGGCGTCCTCATCTGCTGTCGGCGAGCTGTGGACGGAACAAACCAGAGTTCATTACAGCGGGAATTTGAGCTTCCATTTACTTCCCTTCGATACAGCAGCTAGATTAGTTGAACGCCCAGCCTCCCCGGATGTGTGTGGTTTGGGTTTAACATCCATTTCAGTACAGTGAGAGATGTGTCAGAAGATTTAACTTGGAGATTGGTTCTCGAGCAGGAATGATAATAATGGGTTCAGCCTGAGACGCTCAAAAACTCTGAGAGTATAAGAACGAATAACGCTAAGGTTTAGCCCCTACCCTACCCTTTTTTTTTTGTCCGACACAGTGAGTGTGGGTTAATTCAAGAGTAATGGGGGACCTCAGATGGAAAGTCCGCCCGAGGTGTGACCAAGCTAATGGGAAAAAAAAAGCTATGAAAGCCCCTTCTACACCCGAATTTTAAGTCTGTTGTCCGAAATAGCACACAGGCACTACGATGGCAGTTAACGTATTTTATAGACCAGTAAAGACAGAGGTTGAGAAAGAGCGTGGCACTGCCGATGCATTTTACTATTTTACTGTTACTATTAGCATACGGCGAGACAGTTGAACTAGTGCACAGCATCGCTCTGTTGTATCATAGTTTTATTACAGTTTTATTACTGCAAAGTCTCTGGCTGTATTCAGTCATAATCGAAATCCAAGACACCTCAGCACTGCTGTAAAACCGACAAAACAGTACGAGTATTATAAGGAACGTTCGTTTCTTCTCAGTTTGGTGTATGCCTGATATGCACATTAGCATTGGAGATGAGGTATTGGGAAATATGCGACGCAGAAAGAGTCAAAATGGATGACAAAATTGGCTGCGTCCAAAGGTGGAATAACTTTCCGCATAGTAAGTGATAAAGTAGCAAGCAGCTTCTGCCGTTATAAGACCGGAGCTTCTATCGAAACAATTTTCAGATGAAATTCTTAGATGAACGTGATTGCCGCTGCAGGAGTTAAAGTTTACGACAATTTCTACGTTAGAATTAAGTTCTTTGAAATGTGGACTGCATGTATTCGATATAATACCGTTTCCGACAGCGAGGAATATCGAGTACGAAGAACCACGGGGTGCTCCGTTAGCTCAGTTGGTATCATGCTGGACTACGGAGCAGATAGCTTTGGTTCGAATCCCCGACGGGGTGTTCTTGAACTTGGGTTGCGTCGTAAACCGGTGTAAGAATAACAGAGCTACCAGTGTGTCCCACTGAGGAAAGGACGATACAAGAGAACGGACAATTACAATAAACTGTGTTACTTAGGCTATGCTTCTACTTATCTAAACAATGTCCTCTTATATTTGATCTCTGCATAACAAGTCTTCTATTTTAAAATCAAAGCCAACAACATTGCAAAATACGTGACAAATTTGAAGCTCACCTCCCCTCATGACGTCTGAAGGCGGTCTGATAACCACGAATCCAAAATAGAAAACTCCGAGCTTGACTCACCACACAATAATCCTCCAGACACAAGAATTTTCACCAGTACACGTACCGAGAGGTTCTAGAATTTAGTAGGCACTAAAAGTAAACTTCAACTTCGTTGAGTGCTCGTTTTGCCACACTGAATTCCCACATGTTTACGAGAAAAATCCAAAATAAGCTGCCGGATAACAGATTCAATAACATTAATACATTTGCGTGTGGGCAATGACCGAAGTGACCAACCCCCACCACCTCTTCCCTCACCCATACACCTGTACTAAAAACCCCGGCCAAATTGCTAGATCAGTGAGGACAAGCCGGTAATCCTGAGTGCTTTGATCCTGCTGTGTGCCACATCCACACTACATGGCCCCACGCTGTTGTGGTAGTTTTAATGCTCTACCTGGAGAAAGCCCAACTCACGATCAACTCTGTGCGTGCGCAGTAGGGGAAAGGAATGCATGTACCCACGATCTGTTGAAAACTATTCTAGGTCTAAAATAGAACAACGTTTGCTGCTGCTGCTAAAACAACAACTACTACTACTACTACAAATAGATTCTACTACTACTACTACTACTACTACTACTACTACTACTACTACTACTACTACT